GAAAAATCCTTTTTTAGTATAAGTAATGGTTTTCATTTATCCAAATCTAGTAGGAGTTAAGATAATACTGACACGGCATACGTATTCACATGCCATCATGCTGGCGTGGGGAAAATATGTGCACGTGAAAATTACACAAGCCGCTCTGACCGACTAGAATCGGTTACGGTTAATAACCGAGACTAACTGGGGATGGCCGCTGCGCAAGCAGAATTTTTCAGAAGTTCGAAATATTCAGAATTTAACAATTAATGCCTGCATTAGCAGAAAATTGCCTTAATGCGGGTCTGTGAAGTCTGCGCAGCCTGCGAAGTAAATTCAAAAAATCATCGATTTGCCTATCCCTAGTTATAACCGTAACCGAACCCATCCTTATTCTGGAGCATAATATTAGATAATCTTTCTTAGTAATTAAAAACGGTTAATCAATATTTAATAACTTTCAATTGCTATCATTATCGTTGATAAGATGTTCTTTACAAAAGAAATTTAATTTTTTTAATAATGAGTAGCTTGTCGAATTGCGAGATCAGATGACTTTATGGATCAAATGCTTAGATTGACCTTTTATGAACTGTTATGGTTTGCTGTGTTGTTCTCGTTAGATTAGGTTTTTCTTGGTTAAGTTTATGATCGTTAAGTGATATGAATGTTAACAAATTAGTGCTAAAGTAAAAGAGTATTTTTATATGGCTTCAAACGTGAATCAGATCAGTGGGATGGAGGGAGAAAGATGTAATGTAGTGTATTTAAGGATGATGTTTTTTAGTAAAAAAAGCTTATCTTACTCTTTGCTATAGCTTGCCTTGCAGGAAGGCTACTCTATCGTCCCTCCCATCCCATCCACAGTGCAGTGATCCACAATAAATTCAAATACTTGACGGTTGGCTTGTATGACAAGGTGTAATGTCAGGCAGTAGCTGGTTTTGTTTTAGTTTTTTATTTATGTAACGAAGAAGCTCCGCGGCTGCTGCAGTAGTAAAATGACTTTATTTTTGTAGTGATTAGGCTCCGAGGCTGCAGTAGTACAAGGATTTTGTTTTTGTAGTGATTAGGCTCCGAGGCTGCAGTAGTACAAGGATTTTATTTTTGTAGTGATTAGGCCCCGAGACTGCAGTAGCAATTAGGCTGCAGTAGCAGTATGTTATGTCTAGGGAGAGCTTTTATATGTCCAGGCCAATTTAGTTCAGTGTAATAAGCATAAAACCTGATGATAAATTGTACAGGCTGGGTCCTTATTTAGTAGTGGTTATCAACTAAGGTATGTCGTAGGGGTTGTGCAGGACTATATTTAGGTTATATCATTGCCTTAATTAAGCTATATTCGTAAGAGGTCGCCACGGGTTACGTTTAGGTTACTTGGGGTCCAAGTTAGGTCGCTACGGGTCACGTTTAGGTTCAACTTGATTACTTCGTGCCACTTAGTAAGCAGGGACGGAGCCGACAGGTCACTTATTATTGTATTATTTAGGCACTAACAACTATACTTATTATTGGAGCCAAGTAAGAAAAAAGTTGCTATATTTACTAGACAGGTGTCCCATTTATACATTTTGATGTGCAAGGGTTTCAAACCCGGATCAGGAGTCTCGAACCCAGATCTGGGATTTCGAACCCGGATCTGGGGTTCCAAACCCGGATCCCAGGTTTCAAACCCTAATCCCGGGTTTCAAGCCCGTACACGTGCTATTACTGTCGTGACTACGTATTTTACTGTTTTTGCATATGAAAAGTAAAGAAACTACATAGCGAAATTAACAAGGTAAGAAAAATTTTGTCAAAATTTTTCATAACACAGTACGAGAACCTGGCAGTTAGGCTTCACGACTGCAGTAGCAGTGCAAAAACCTTGTTTTAGGTTCCATGGCTACTGTAGTAGTGCATGGACCTTTGCTAAATGGGTTGCAGGCTCCATGGTTGAGATAACAGTGTAGTGTATTTAAAAAACCCATTCAGGTCACCATAACTCAATCCTGTATATACCTGAGTACTCACATGTATATAACTTTACTAATGCCAATCGTACTGGTCTTGCGCGGCACCACGTGCTGCGCAGCTACCTTATGTACTACCTAGAAAATTTTGAGGCGTCCTAAAAAAACTTTACAATATATGCAAGTATATTGTTATAAATTAATATCGCCCCTAAAAGTTTGAACTATTTATAAATAGGGGTTTTTATCTACAAGCCACGAAATTTCGGTAAAAATTAATTGTGGCTTTAAAAACTTTTATCAGTGACATAGGGATGTTAAAAAATCCGTCTGGTTTAGTCCCAGTCCGGCCCTTAAAAAGTCGGGTCCTGAACTAGTTAGGTATAGTTCATAACTCCTGTCCGAAACTGGTTCAACCCTAGTGGTTTAGCAGATAATTTTGAAATTTGTATCATCAAACCAACCAATCAGAATACCTAACCCAATTAGCGATCCTTAAATTAGCGATCCTTAAATTATAGCAATTTAAAAGTATTGTTCTTTGATTTAAGTTTTATTAGAAATGTCAAAATGATATTTGATTCATGTCATGTGAATATCTGAACTATTTCCGGGCTAGTTCTAATATGACAATATCTCTGCATCTATAATTCAATCAGAATAACTAATTATTTAATAAGTATTATTAATCACCCAATTAAGTTAGACCTATTTAAATTTCAGCGATATAAAAGTATCATTTTTGATTCATGCTATATAAATTCCATTTGAGATGTCAAAAACGACCCTCGGTTCATGCCATGTGATTATTTGAACTAGTTTCGGATTGGTTCTGAACGGTACCTAAAAAGTCCAGTCCATAACCGGTCCGGACCCGACCCCCTGCGGACTACATCCCTACAGTGACACACTTTTGTTACCTATATAAAGTTCCGATCTACTATGCAGGTCATATGAAAATTATCGACATTACCCTCTACCCTTTAAATAAATTTTTCGTCAATATTCATATCATTAATAATGTTCAGTAAAAAACATTTTGTTTTTAACGATCTTCGGGCAAAGTAAGTTAAAAATGAACACAAGATTTATTTAAAAGTTCCAAACTATTGTAATTTCTCATATAATAATTAATAATTCAGGTTGCGATAGTAACAGGTGCAAAAACTGGTATTGGAATCGTGACTGCTAGAGAATTGGCTCGTAAAAATGCTCATGTATTTGTTGCAAGTCGTAATAAAGAAAAAGGTGAATCAGCTGTAGAATTAATAAAGAAAGAAACAAACAAAGATGCTGTCGAATTTTTGCAATTGGATCTTCAAAGTTTAAATTCTGTTAAACATTCTGCTGAAACATTTTTGGCTAGAAAATTGCCTTTGCATATTCTGTGAGTAAAATATTTTATGTGCTTATTGTTAATTTACTATTTAAAAATTTAATATAACTTTAATTACTTTGTTCATAGAATTAATAATACCGGTATGTTGCCAGAGTAAGTTTTTTTTTTTTATTTTTCATGCAAAATTTCTATCATCATTCTAATTTTTATATCCATATAAAAGCTCAATGGGACTAACTCAAGATGGGATTCAAGACGTGTTTGGTGTTAACCATGTTGGCCATTTTGTAAGTAAATGATTCTTTCAAAGGTCTTTGAATTATTCACTAACAGATCGTTTGGGTGAAATCATCCCACGTGACAATTTATTATCGATATATATTACGTGATGTTGGTAAATGAAATGAAATAAACCGCACCAGAATTATCATTTAGAAAAAGATGTTAATCCGCATTTTATAAATTACGAAATAGCTTTTCACTCTTTTATTATTGCCAACCATCAAAGCGTCCAGCCCATCACGTATTGTCAATGTTAGCAGGTTAGTCAAGCTTACTTTTGGTATCAATATAATCAAGATATTCAAAGCTATGATGTTTTTATCATTTTATTATGATTATAGCATCGTTCATCGTTATCCACCATCAGGAGGAATAGAATTTGACAAATTGAATGATCCAAATGTTCAAACAGCTATTCAAGGATATTTTCAAGCGAAACTTGCAAATGTTTTATTTACCATTGAACTTAGTAAAAGACTTTTAGACGCAAACGTTTATTGTAATTGCCTTCATCCAGGTAAATAAATAAATATATATATTTATTATTTCAATATAATATTTCAATCTAGTATTTCAATTAGTACAGTATTTTTAATTAATCTGCATTTGAATTGGCATTTGAATTTGTATTTTATAGTAAATTATTCTAATTTACATTAATTAATACTTTAACTGCATTGTAAATTAATTTAGGTGTCATAAATACAGAACTATCCCGTGGACATTTTGCTACTTGGAGTTTTTGGATGAAACCACTTGCTCGTATTATTTCAATATTTCTGTTAACACTTGATGATGGCGCGTTAACACAACTTTACTGTGCTACAAGTCCTGAAATTGAAGAAAAAAATTACCGTGGAAAATATTTTGTACCTTTTGGTGTGTTAGGTAAAACTTCCAATTATGGTAAAGACGAGGAATTGGCTAAAAAATTGTGGGATTTTTCCGAAAATTTTGTTAAGGAAAAGTTAGGTGATGACATTCTTAGCAAATGTTTTGATTAAACTATTCAATATTTGTAGTACATTACTTTGTTGAAATGCGCTTCTGCATATTATTATTCGACTTTTTAGTATTTATGTACATTACAGTTCACGCTCGCTAAGATGAACTCTCAAAATCAGTTGTTTATGTGTTAGATACTGTTAAACAAATACTGTCTGAATGAAATATTCTGTATAAGGACAAAATTATGTGACAGTAATGGTTTGTGAATAACTAATCTATTTTCAATGATTTTGGATATAATCGAATTTTGTTATTTTATAGCAAATCGGAAAATAGCTTATCCATTCTTAAAACACAAAAAACAATTGGCATACAGCGCGAATCATAGTACCCTGGATACGATCCATTCTACGGGCAAAATCAAAGTCTGCACCCGAGTATTACGGGGTATAGCGCTATTTATAATACCTGGTATTTTATAAAGGCTAATATGAAAATGCGCTAGTTTTATGCAGAACAATAAGGTTTTATGCGACCTTTTGACGCCTAGTATCTACATACGTATGAGCAATTAAATTTTTTTTCTTAGAATTACATCTCCAAGTTCAAATTACAGTTGACTTTCTTTGTAATAAGCTACGTAGTGGTTTGTTACGACCAGTGGGAGAGACTTGTATCGGCAGAGCCAATTTAGCTTAGGGTCGTAATCATTAACAAGAGAAAGCCAAATATTTATTTACGCACACAAGGCACCAGAAAATACTAAACCAATGTGTCCCAGACACTAATAATTCAAATATCCTTGTCCAACTACTAACCTAGTACGTTCCAAACGCACTAATAATCCTTCCAAACTAATATCCCAAAAGACTCACTAAAAACTAAAAAGAACTAAAATACATAACATTCTATATATATCTATGGACAAGCTCTAAAATAAGCTATAGTCTATTTACAGTCTAATTAAAGTATGCTTTATACTTCACATAAACTATTAAAATGTTACACACAAAAGTATATAAAAGTATAAGGAAAGTATAATAGATACACAAGCAAAGTTTAATTGTGAAACTTTGTTGTGTAACATATTCTTCCCCTTTAAGAATGAGCTCCACTCGAATCCGTAAAATCTTCGAAGTTGAGTAAATGATATATGCTTCTTGCGTAGGAATCTTCATGTTAAATCCATATGCGTTCTTGATGTCGAGGAGGTCATGTGATGGAAAATTTTAGCAGTCTATGCATTCCAAAAAATTCGGGTCCATAATATTTAATGAAATTTTTTTTTTTTAACCAATCATTCAATTGTTCTTTTAGTGTTCCACTCCGAGTTGTGCCTCCTGGGTCGAATAC